CTAGGGTGGAAAATGGGAGGCAGTCGGCGGAGCGCCGGTAGGGCGCATTTACATGATATGAATATAATGGAGAGGGCCGGGTCGCTGGCAGACCCGGACTACGAGAGCGCTACCTGTTGAACGAAGAGTTCAAACCCACGGTGACCCAGAGGATATATTCGACCGGTCCTCCAGCCTTCGAGGTCATTCTCTCGCGCTCCTCTTTCATTCGTCTCTTTTCTTTCGAGACGAGATACGAGATATTCCTCGTCGTGCCATCGTTGCATCGACGATTCGAGGGCAAGATCGAGGGAGGGCAGGGGAGATCCGTTTCGATCGAAGGGCGTGTAAGTCGTTGTTTCGCGAAACGTAGACGGGGAAGGGAATTTCCGTGAGAAGGAACGAGCCTTTCGGAGCCAACAAAGGGTCGGTGTGTTAGAGGTATTACGCGAGAAAACTGAAGAGGAAATGTCACCTGTCCAATTAAGGACCGCTCTCCTATCGCCGATACGATCTCGCGCACGAGGCCAACCTCCGTTCTACGAAACGAACGTCGTCGCGGGCCATAAATATGTATAAGACGGAGCGCGTGTCATTCAGCCGGGACTCCGGATGTTTCCCTCCTTTTTTCCTCCCCCCTCCCCCCGATTCTCCTTCCTCCTCTCCTCCATCCTGTCCAACTCTCACCGCAGATATTACGCGTCCAACGGGACGTGATAGTTAAATCTCGAGCAGGCGTCGTCGCGTATCTTTTATACCAGAACCCTTTTCGATCGCGATTTGTCGTTTCGAAAAGTTCGAAAAATCGTGGAGGCGAAATCGTCTCTTCAAATAGAGGGAAGAAATAAGAGGGGAGGGAAACGGTAGAGGGTCGATATAAAGATGGCCAATAAAAATAAATAAAATGGTGAACGACGGTATCCACACCTCTTCTTCGTGACCCCTTGGTCAATTTTGTCCCGGTTTATCGCGTCAGATGCTTGGACCATCGAACTTTGGAAATTCCAACTTTGGTCCCAGAGCGAACCTGTCGAGGAAATTGACGCGTGGACACGATACGGGAGGGAGAGAAGGGAGAGAGAGAGAGAGAGAGAGAAGAAAACGGCGAAGAAAGCGAGCGTACNGAGCGAGCATATACATACGGTCCCTCTCGATGATCGTTTGGCCGAGAATATTCATGAAGCTCGAAAGTTAACGGGACGGCACCTCGTATCCCGGCGATTTCGAGAGGTGGTTGCGGTTTACATCCGCGACGAGAATACTTGGCCAACCAGGAAATAATTCGTTGGCTCGAAACGAGGCGAGTTTGGCGGGTCGGGGCCCCGTGAAATAAATTTTCGCCTCCGTTCTCCGATCGACGGTCCGCCTCGGCGGTCGTCGCGCGAAGAGGGGAGGAGGAGGAGGAGGCGCGATTAATTTCAATTCTCGTCGCCCCTCGGCGACGACTTCCTACGAGACGGTAAACGCACACCGATTCCAAAGAATCCCGGGACGAGGAATGGCCGACAATGGACGAGGAAGGAGGAACGACACGAGGGCGCCGCTTCTCTCCCCGCGAGACGACGAGTCGATCGGAATCGTTCTCGCAGCCGGGTCACGATCACCGCTCGAGGACCAACCGTGTTGCGCCGACGCCGCATATATCCATTAACGATATACGACTCGATTCGATTCGAGCGAGGATCGCCACTCGATTCCCGCCACTCCCCGGGGAACGCATTCCAGATAACTTTTACCGCTCCCGTATCCGCCGATTTCCTTCGAAATCGCGCTCCGCTTTATCACCCGTCCTCGGTTAACCGCGTCGTCCGCATTCCTTTCTATTTTTCTTTCCTCTCCTTTCTTTTTTTTTTTTCTTCTTCTTTCTATCTCGAATAAAATCGAGCGGAGATCCTGTCGATCTCTCTCTCCGCCGCTATATACGTATTTCCGTTAATGGAGGCGATCGCGAAAGTCTCGATCCCGTAGCGATGGATCGTTTATTAACCGCGCCGCTCGTAATTACTTTCGACTAATAACTCGTGCTTCGTGGAGAGAACCCGATCGTGCGGCGTAGAGCCGCGAAAGCTAGGAGGAACGTGGACCTATGTGGCGAGCAACATCTATGTGGAGAGGTTTATTAAACGGGTCGAGGGGTCGCGCGAGGGGCTAGGGTTAAAGGGAGAACACGGATATCCCCGGAAGGAGCTTTATCCCCCTCGCCCCTGCTCGCGAACCGCACGCGATTTATGCACGACCGAACGCTCTCACGCGAGCCCCGGCCGCACGCTTTTCATTCCAGAATCGCTTGTCGAAAACCTCTGGCCCCGAAGATCAAAGCTCCAGACGGTCTTAAGAAAACCGCGCGCAACCCTCCTCGCCAACCACCACCTTTCCGATTGTTCCTTCCGTGGATCCGCGATTGTTCGCGAGACCGCAACCCTCTCTCTCTCTTTTTGATTCTCGCGCGTGAGAACAGGGAAAATTGAAACCTCCCTTCCTACTACTCCCTACCGTTCTTTACATCTCGCTGTTCTCGTTCTCGCTTTGTTCTCCTCCAACTTTTGGTGGCAATTCCTTCCTCGTTCGTCACGACCTATTAAGGACGAATTCAAAAAATACAACGAACAGCGATCTCTCTGTTGAAACTGTGGGCAACGATGCGAAGTGGAACGGAGAGAAAGGAGGGAAAGAGGAAATAGGAATAGTATAATTTCGAGCGTGAGGGAAGTTTGGAAAGAAAAGTCGGGAAAGAAAGGATAAGCGATCCGTTTCGTTGGGAAGGGGGAAACGGTAAACAAACGGTAGGCAGGACAGTGGACAATTACAGATAGGCAGAAGGAACAATGAGCAGGGAAGAATGAAAGGCAGAGTCGTAAATCTTTGGCGGAAACAGGTGGAGAGGCGCGTGATCGCGAGTAGTAGTAGTAGTAGTAGTACTAGTATAGGAGATTGAGTAACTGACCTTGCGAAGAAAGCTGCGGCTGCGCTCGCCTGCGCCGGCGTCCCCGGTACCCCGCTCACGTTGTACGAGTACTTGGTCTCCTGGTACACTTGATACGCGGTTTGCGGCTTCGAGTGCGACGATCGGTGATAATAGTGATCGGCGTACACGCTCTTCTCGGCTGGACGTTCACCGCCGCCGACCTTGGACAGGCCGTAACTCTGCATCGCGGACGAGCAGGGGGAGGAGGAGGAGCAGGACACTTTGGAGTGACACTTGTCGTGACCGTTCTTCTCCGCCCCGTGCAAATGGGACTTCTCGTGGGCAGAGACAACGGCACCCGGCTTGTCGATAGTCCCGTAAGACTTCAAGTCGTAGCCCTTCAATTCGCCGTAGTATTTCATGTTCTCCACCTTGAACCCGTGACCGACATCGTGGCCCTTCGACTTGCCGCCCACTTGCTCCCCGTGCTTCCCGTAACCGAGCTCCTGCCCCGATTTCATCCTATCCCCACCGCACTTCCCCACCACCACCACC